CAGCATCCAGTAGCGATGCCAGTATAAGTTCTAGAGATCGTCTATTTCCCAATGGCGACACTAGAGGGCGACTGTGCAAGGCCAGCAGTCTCGTGTCGTGCTTCTGGGTACATGACGTCGGTCTCATCACAGTGGAAACCAACGCTATAGTTAAACTATGGGATCGCAATCTGCAAGTCCAGAATATATTGAATGGCCGACAGACGGATGTTTATATCAATTGTGCAGCTTTCCAGAAAAATATATTGGCTATTTGCGATGATTATCATAGGTTTCAGGTTAGTTTAAATCATTTCTTACTGTTATATTTGTACTATTCAATATTTTTGGCAGCCGACATTGAGTTGCGCTCTGCGTAGTTCGCCCACCACAGAATTCTAAGCCCCACACTAAAATTAAAATTGTGTTCTGTGAGTCATATTTCAAAACACCATCATGTTAAAAAAACACAATACTTTGTGTTTAATGGTTTAAAACTAAAAATAGAACATATGTGTAATAACAATTGATTTTGACTGAATTTAAATTTTTTTTTGTTGTTATAATTTCAGACTTATGAACTAAAGACAGATGATAAGATAGAACTGCAGCCCATACAGGTGTACAAGTTGAATAATCGTATCATGTGCTGTGACCTCACCGCAGACGGCAGCCTCCTCGCCATGGGACTTGACTCCGGGAATGTTATTGTATGTACTATGTACTCAATCCTTTATTACATAAACTGAGGAAGTGGATTTGATGGGAAAGGGGAGTTTTAGAAGAGAGAAATATCTCTAATCCTTTGCTTTATACTTTTAGATATTATTAATTAGAATCCTATGGCGCTTTCGTTACAAAGTCAAGTGTCAGAATGAATAGTGAGGGGACACAAACGTCGACATTTTAGTGAGGCTAGTGTTGCGCCAGTACACCGGCACAGTGTCGGATTTTCTTCCTAACAATACTTAAGTTAAGCAACAAGGAAACAACCTTTTAATTTATTGAATATATCAGGTAGTGGACACTTCGCCATTTTAGCGAAATACGCTTTGTGCTAATGTCGAACCCAAATGACTTATATATCTCTAGAGACAGGACGCGGACAAGAATTTGTAATTATGGTGTATCTAGAAGCTAATACTTTTATCCATGTAATCTTACAAATATTATAAATGCGAATGTTTAGATGTATTGATGGATGTTTCTGTGAAAGTCCAGAATAAATCTCTATAAAATTTGGCATATATTTGAAACATACTGTGGAAGAACGTATAGGCTATAAATTAAGTCTTTTTCAATAGAATTCGCGAGTTACAACGTATGTTGATTATATTGCAGGTTTGGCACGTGAGCAATCAGCGTCAGCTACGGTTCCTAAAGCACCACAAGACGAAGGTGCAGTGGTGCCGGTTCTCCCCGGTGCCGGAGCGGCTGACGCGCGGCGCCC